ATGGGGGCCCACGGTCGTGATCCGAGCCCCCGCTCTCGCAATTGTCGCCGTGGCTCGCCCTGGCGCGGCTGAAAACTGCGACGATGGCCGCCGCTGGCGAGGGCGATGAGCAAGGGTCACAGGCGCCGATGAGTCCTGCCAGCTCGCGACGGCCGCTGAGAAATAGCCTCGCCGAGGCGGCGGGCCAGGCCGCGAATTGGTCGACGACGCCGCCTGCGACGCCCGCTTCGATCTGCCGCTGGAGAGGCGCGCTCGGGCCCCCTCCCGCCCACCTCTTGCTGCTGCTCAGTGGCCGTCGCCAGGCTTGCGCTCGGCATCCGCGGGCCAATACGGCGGCGCCTCGACCTCCGCCGCCCGCGCGAGGGGGGCTCCGAAAATGGGAAGGAAGGCGCGCCTGAGAGTCGAAATAATCACGAACTCGAGACTGACAAAAAAGGGCAATATAACGGGCCATCGTCGCGACGGACCCGGTGCTTTTTGCTCCTGGACGCCGCGCCGACGCCCGCCCCAGAATCTACGCGCGCGCCCTCGCACGCTGTAGCTCTGATCTTCAGGCTCGGCCCCCCGCCCCCTTCCTCGGGCGACTGGCGGCGCGCGCGTGGGGGCTGAGTGACAGGGGCGGGGTGCTAGCACAACGCCGATGATTCCTGAGCTGCGTGATCTCATCTTGCGGAAAGAATTCGCGAAGCTCCCCGCTCTGGGGGGCGCCGTCAGATCGACGATCTTTCCGAACTCCTCATCTCCGGCTTCCACGGGCGAGACGATGTCAGAAACAAACCTCAGGGCCCGCGGATGCGCGGCAGTTATGGGTTCCCCATGGTCATCGAGGATGCTGAGACGGCGCCCGATCTCGATTCGCATCGCGCCCAGAAGGGCCGCCAATTGTGCGGCATGTTGATCTGGGCCAGAGATCCAAGCTTGGCGCCACCTAAGGCGACCCGACCCAGCCTCCACCTCAAGCGGGGCGAGGCGCCAGAAGCGGGAAATCTCAAGATTGATGGCTGGACCTGGACGGTCGCCTTCGTGAGGCGCGGCCGCCTCCGTCGCTGCCCCGCGCGCGCGCCCGCGCGCGCGCCCGGGGCGCCCCCGGCTTCGCGGCGGCGGGGATGGGGCGCACGAGATCTGGCAGAGCGGGGCCAACAGCGCGACTGAAGAAACTGCCTGCTTTTCCGTGAGCGGCAGCTTCGGCCAGCACCAATGATAGCGGCCCATCGCCGCGAAGCCAGCGCCCACCGCCGCAATCAGAATTGGCAGCTCACTGCGAAACGTCGAATCAGCCCTGAGGGCGCCTCCAATCACGCGAGCACGGTCGTTAGCAACTCCAGCTGTAGGTCGTGCGCTTGATCGCAGCCGTTGATGCGCGTGCTTGCTGCCCGCGCAGAACACTGCTGCCCCTGCAATATTCTTGAACGGTTTATGCTATTGCAGCTCTCCTCGCGCATGCTTGCGCTGAGCATGTGATCATGCGCAATGGACTCGATGCTAAGCTTTGCGCGCGCGCGTCCTCCACCTCCCCGCCCGATAGCAATCGCTCGGCGGCGCCATTGACGCAGCGGCGATGCTGGGGCCGAGGGGGGGGGGGGGGGGGGGGGGGATGTTGATTGTGCGCCGCTTGGCCGCTGTATCCCCAGGCAGGCTGCGTCAAGAACGCCTGCCCTGGAAAAGGCCGCCCCTGCGCCCCTGGTGGATCTCCCCGGAGGCCCCCCGCTCGAGGTCGGGCGAATGCGATGCGACAGGGGCCCCGCAGAACAAACTGCAGCACGACGGAAGCGAATGTCACCAAAACGTGCTTCCAGATCTTGCATGATGGCCCTGCCGGCCTGCGAGAGAGCCAGGCAAGAAGTGCTGCCGAACGCGCTGCTGACATGTCCACGTTCGCGCGGCAATTGAATACCTAAGCGTCGAAGCCGCCATCCAGTAGACTGCCGGGGCATCGTCGGCGCATCCTGCCTCTTGCGCGCAACGCGCCCATGGGCGAATGTGGTTGGATATTGCGCTGTTTTGGGAGATCGACGCGACGAGACGAATGCTTCCCAAAACTGACGCACAACATGAGTAACACTCTTGTGCAGAATTGCCAACCGTGCGAGAGGTTCCAAACCGGCGGCAATTCTGTGGCTCGGTATCTAGTGCGAAGCATACTCTTGAGAACGAAGCGGATGTGATTGAGACCTGGCCAGGGCCATTCATATCCGAATCCATGATGACGCCGCGAAGTGCGCTTGCAACGATGGAGACAAAACACCCGATATAATTCCATGGGGTAGAGATCACGGAGGCGGCGCCCTGCGTTTGACCACCGTGTGAACAAAAAACTTCGCTATAAGCTGCAAGTTGGGGCAACTCAAAACCCTTCTGGGCGAATGGCGACATGACGGTGCCTACCTCGATTCCACCATTTTCGCACCCATAATTATATCCCTTCGCATGGATTACTCAACTTGTGTTGGCCAGTCAATCATGTCAGCCTCCATGCCGTGCCCGCCACATCTGACTTGACATCGGTGGTTGGGGTCCTGGGCCGAGGGCGTTGTCTCAATGGCTCTGCGATAGTTTCTGCGGCGAAGTCCTGTCCAACAAGCTGAAAGAAGGCGCAGGACACGTGCTAGTTCTGCTGTTTGACAATTTCGATCTGCTGATGTGACTTCGGCCGTGAGGTCAGCCCGCCTTTCTCGAATCCATCGCCGTCGCATACGTCGAAGGGTGATGATCAGAACTTTCAGCTGTCGGGTGAAAGCAGATTTCAAGTGAGGATCCGCATCAGGTAGCGGAAGGCGCACTTGGCGCCGCTGTTTGGGAAAACCTGCCACCTGCTGCGTTCGCTGTCGGTACCCACGCCGTCGCAAAAGGTGCTTTGGCACAAAAAAACTGTTGCCCGCCCCTCCAACAATATATAGAAACACCCCCCATTCCAAATTGGGGGGTCTGCTCAACTTCTCGCAGTCGTGAAAAGGTCCGCCGACGATGTTGGCATGAATTGTTCGGCGGCCTGAAGAAAACTCAGCCCGATTCGTACCACGCCTGACGCATCCTATCAGCGACCCGCGACGCCATGCAGCTGCACGAGTGTACACACCTATGATTGGTGGTCGATCCTACTGGGTAGCCAATAGCGTCGGCAGAACAGAACTTCAGGCGAGCATGTACTGGCATGCGGTGGCGAAAAAGCCGGAAGCCATTGACGTGCAATTCGCGAGCACGCCAACGCAACAGACCATCCAGGGCAGAATCGCTGACATCAACACATTTTGAATTCGGAGAATATTGTTCCTTTGCGAATGTTGCGTGCTACTCGATCGCGTTCCCTCATGAGCTCAACCAGTACATTTGCAGCGTACATCTGCCGTACGCGTTCAGTCTGTGAGCCAATGCTGTAAGACGTTGTGGGTACCCATCGTTCAGACATTGTTTGGCGTTGGAGCCCAATTCCACGGTGCACATGGAAAAGGCGTCACTGGTTGACAGCAGTGGGGAGCCCAAATCAGAAGACCTGTGACGCAATTTATCGATATATCGCACGTCTGGTGATGCCATCTGGCGGACTGAACATACTGAGGAGGTGGAAATACGCTGCACACGCCTGAATCACATCGCTTGCTGCGGGCTCGGATTGCCAGTCCATGCCCAGCAAGCGGAACAGTCCATATACCCGTGACGCTGAGGCGCGACACTCTGCTGCCAATATTCATTGCACATTCAACAGACTTGTTTGTGTGAGGTCTTCGACGCCCGCCTGCAGTGTAGCACCAGCGGCCTGGGCCGATCTTCTTCCATTGCGCCGAAGAGTCCTAATCAAACTGCTGCTCGCCCGTGCCGCTGAGGCAAACGAAGTCCATATTGGAGGCCCGCTTCGCGAGCTCAATTGTACATGGCAAAAGGAGTACACTGTTACTGTAAGACAGACAGGCCGTTCATGATCAACTTCCTGGGCCTGGCCGACAGCTGCCTGTGTGAGATGGCACCAAGAAGTGAGACAGAAACTGCTACCCAACATCCTGTTTTCGAAATGTTTGCACAATGCCGATGTGCTGGTAATTAGGCTGCGATTGAGAAAAAAATTGTGGGCCCCGTCTGTGGGGGCCATGCGTGGTCGAGAAATTTCGCCCGGAGCCGACAGGCACTCCGGGAGGGAGGGGGACGAGGAGGCTGGAAGGAAGGTAACATGTGAAGGAAGGAAGGATAAGAGTGGTGGAAGGAAGGAAGGGAATTGCCAAAACCGAAGGGTTCTTCGGAAGGAAGGCAGGAAGGGAAAATGTGAGCGGAAGACGTTTCCCGCACCGTGTGCCCCCGGGGCCGCCCCCTGGCACGACTCATACCCCCGGAGCCTGGCCCGCCGCTCTTGACTACCTACAGACCACCCCGACCCAACCCGAAGACCCGAATTTGACCCGAATTTCGGGTTGGGGGGGGTGCGAGTTCCATGCGTTTTTTCAGAATGTTCCCCGACCCCCCCCCCCTACTGGAGGCCTTCGGGTTGGGTTGGGGTGGTTTGGTGGGTGGTGAGCTCTGGAGCCAGGAAAAGTTCACCCGCCGAGCGCCTCGCCTGCCTGCAGTCCGCTCTCCCCGCCTCCCCGGACTGCAGTGCGCCTGCCGTTTCGCAGCCCGACCCATGGGCCCACCCGCGCGGGGCGCAGCAGCAGGAGAGGAGAGGACGGTGGAGGGACCGGGAGGGGGGAATGAGTGGGAGTGGGATGGGGGCCGCTCATCTATCTAGGGGAACAAACAATGACAGAAACATAAAAACTCGGAGGTCCCCGCGGATTTCTCGGATCCGCGCTGGACCCCCCTGGCGGCGCCTCCGGCGCCGCCTTTGGCGCGATCCGCGCGCCGGGGAGGGGAGTCCAGCGCCGATCCGAGAAATCCACGCGGACCTCCGAGTTTTTATGTTTATGCCATTGTTTGTTCCCCTATTTTCGATCATCTCATCGATGACCGTCGAACGCTTCCTCGCCTCCCCCACCAGGTCCGATCGCCACCGGCCATCCGCGGGCGCCAGGCCCTCAGCTGCGTCGCTTTCCGCCGCGCTTTCCGCCTTTGCCGCCTCCTTTCTTGCCTGGGGGCCATCGAAGATGCTCACATAAACATACACACAAGTACAGACACACACACACACATCCATCCCTTGATCTTCAATGCCCTCCTCCTCCTCCTCGCTGTCATCGTTCCCCCTGAGGAAACTGCACGTGCTTTTCCGACGAATTGTGAGCACACTCTTCAACAGAGCCTGCCAACCCACGACGAATCCCGAAATGTCAAGCCACGTTGGTGAAACCACTGACAAGCCGGCATCACTGACCTGACCTGAATACCACTACGGACGCAAGTCTTGGATGGCACCGTGGGACAGTGGGCAGAATATAATGCCAGGAAGGTGTAACACATACATGGCAGGGTTCACATGTGAGACATCTGGAAGCCGCGCGCTGGATAGAAACATGCGGAAGCTCGGCGTACACGGCCATCGAAGGGCCGAGCGCTGCACAACCATGCGACCACATGCGTATCCAGCTCTCGCCCAGGCTGGCCTCGTCAGCTATATCAAGCTTCCTGGTAGCCTGTAGGATGAGATGGGGGAGACGGGGTGAGGGGAAAGACATAAAGGGGAGGACGCGAGGAGGAGAACAACGACGGAATGGGAAGAAGGGGCGAGTCGCGGCGAGGATTGGGCAAAGGGGTGCTTCTGTGAGCGTATTGACTGTGTTGGCGCAGCAAGACGCCAAAGGGTGAGTGCAACCTTCCCCAATCGGCCGAGAAGGCCACAGAGAAGAGCGCAGCTACAATCATACCTTGCCTTCGATCGGAGCTGCGTGAGCAGCTGCACGCGGGGCTCCAAAAGTATACGTGTGGGGGGTCACGCTGGCGGTGCTGTGCTGCCTCTCTTGTGCGAGCTGGAGCCATCTTCGGCGCTTCCTCGTGCTCCTCGCCATCCTCTGCTTCAGAGGTGGTGTCCTCCTCGACCACAGCCGCTCCATCCTCGAAGCCACGAGCGTGCGGGCCCCGGAAACGCGCCGGGCCACTCGCAGAAGCCGGGGGAGCACGCCCGCTGCCGCGATGTGCCGTCGCCGTGCTCGTTCAGCAAGCTGCTCTGGCGGATCGGCCTGGACACGGGGCTGGATCGGTGCAACCTATGTTGGGAGGCAACTGCTGGGAGGTCTTCGTCGGAAGACTCGGAGGTCCTTACAAGGAGGATTAGGCCACATTGCGGGGCTGTTGCGCCAAAGTGGGCCTCGGATGAAGCCGGATCAAGCCGGATTAATCGGGATTAAGCCAGATTAGGCGGGCTTAAGCGGGATTAAGCCGGCCTTCGGACCAGGGCAAAATCGGAATTTGACATCCCAGAAGTTGCATCCGAACCTATGGCACGGGCGAAACCAGCCCTGCAAGCCGCGGGGGCTCGTCCCGATGCCCCTGTCAAAGTGTCAGCATGACTACGCAGCGGGGCTGAAGAATCCGCCGCCGATTCTGCTGTTCTTACGCTTCCGCCTGTCCCTCAACTCCCTGAACCTGCCACGGCTGTTGCCTCTACACCTCTTGTACTCCTTCTCCGATATACTTTGCTTATCTTTGATTGTCTTGCGTGCATCACTCTTGCTCATCCTCATCATCATGATGATCATTTTCCCTCTCCTCCCTCTCCCTCCACCTTCGTCTCATCTCTACCTCTCGGGATTCCCCTCCTGCTACTCACGTATTCCTCTGTCCGTGCCCTCCTCCTGCGTACTGTTCCGTCCTCCATCCCCCCTCCTCTCCATCCCTGCTCCATGTACGCCTCCTCGTCCACCCTGTCCTCCTCCCCTACGCTACCCGCTTCATGCTCCTGTCACGTTCCTCGCTCCTCCCAACTCCCTCGCCCCTCCTCCCTCTGCATCTTCATGCTCCTCCCTGATATCCTCCTCGTCCCCCCCTGCCCTCCCTGACCCTTCTCCTGCTCATGCTCGTGCCGCTGCTCCTGCTCCTGCTCCTGCTCTTGCTCCTGCTCCTGCTCCTGCTCCTCCTCCTCCTGCTCCTCCTGCTCCTCCTCCTCTTCCTCCTCCACTTCATCTCCCCTCCCCCCTCATCAACCATGATTATCAGCCTTGTCCCCCTCCCATTCCCACTCTTCAATGTCCCCCTTCCTCCCTCCCTCCTCCCCCTCCCCCCTCCCGTCCTTCCCCGTGCCCCCCAGCCTCCTCCCACCCTCCCCCCCCTTTCCTCCTCCCTGGGCAGGGCCTCGGTAGTCGCCGCCGCCAGACTTTCTTCGCTTGCTCCCCCAATCGCCTCCGCCCTTCCAGTCGCTGCCTCGCCGCCGGAGGCCGCGCGCGAAAAGTGGGGAGGAGGAGGAGGAGGAGGAGGAGGAGGAGGAGGAGGAGGAGGAGGAGGAGGAGGAGGAGGAGGAGAGGAGGAGGAGGAGTAGGAGGAGGAGGAGGAGGAGGGGGAGGGGGTGGAGGAGGAGTAGGAGGAGGAGGAAACGAGGGATGGAGGATGGATCGGGATGGTGGGTGAAATGTACCAGCAAGACAGCTGCGACGCATGCTGAAACACCCCTCGGTGTGCCTGAGGAAAGTGCGAGGATATTAGGTGGGGAGAGGAAGAGGGATGATGAGGAGGGGGAAAGGAAGGGGAGAGGACAGGATGAAGGGCTGTGTGTGGAGGGGGAGGGAATAAGAAACATCAGAAATAATATAACATGTCTGGAGGCTGTCGGATGACGAGGAGGGGAATGAGGGAATGGAGGGAGCGACATCACATTACTTTGCGCAGGAGGGAGTGGAGAAAGGACGAAGAGGAGCGACGGATGATGAACAGAACACTGAGGGAGAATCTGGAGGGGAAGGCGAAGGGAACGGACAAGGAGGATGAGAAATTGATGTAAACAGCATGGTGCTAAAGAACAACCGGATGAAGAGCAGGAGGATGAAACCGACAGGGGTACGTACGAATTCAAGAAGCATGTGTTTGCTCGATCCTTCGCGCAGAGCTTGGTCCAACACAGATCCGCCACCGTGGCCACACGATGTGGATGTGTTCAATGATGTTTGTTGCCTGGTAGAAGATTAAACGGTAATGTTATGTGGCCGACCCCCCTGCCGCTTCTCGTTGCGGATACGGCAAACCTAACACAACCAAGCGTCTCCTAAATTTGCTTCAAAGCGCCCTTCTCAACTTCCAAGACGGCACCACAACAGCCGAATACCGCTACAAGAGGGCTGCTTCGTGCCCCCAAACCAGCCAAAGATGGCCCAGCGACCATTCGACGGCTCCAAGATGCCCCCGCTACGCTGCGATGAGCCATGAAAGGCCCGAGGAGACGCCCAGAGGGACCTCCAGCCACGTGGGAGCAGCCGCCGACGCCCCCCACGAGTGGCACGCCAACCAAGACGAGCGACGAGCGCTGATAGGCGAGTGATTCGCCAGATGCCAAACTCCTTGGGGCGGCTCCAAGAGAACATATGCACTTTGAGCGTCGCGGGCCAGGCCAAGCCGCAAGCCGTTTGAAAGTAACCGCCGGCGCACGCGCGCGCGCCAGCTGGGTTAGGACGCAAAACCGACGGGCCCGCACGGGGCAGAGGCTGGGCAAGGTACTCGCACGATGCAAGACAGGCCCGAGCCGACCATAACGAGAACGGCAAGGGACCGAGCCGACCAAAATGCACACACACACACACTCGAGAAAAAACACAAAGACGGTTGTTTGGCTGCGCCCGAAACTTTTCGGCTGCGGACCGCCTCGGGAAACCCTTGGAAGATCTCTAATGAGCCCCCAGGGCGGCCCGAACAAGATCCGATACGTAACGCGCAACTTAGCTGCCCTGATACGTAGCGCGCAACACGTCGCGTGCAGAAACGGAGCTCAACACGTAGGCTGAAGACGTACGTCTGGTGCAGTGCGTTCGCCAGAGCGTGGACCAACACGTGCCGAGCCAACACGTGGCGTGCAAACACGGGCGTCTTGAGCACGGCACGTGCTGCGACTCGAAACCGGGGGATCCAAGGCAGCCGACTGCCCCGAGACGGCCCGAAGACGGCCCGATGTAGTCCTCTTCCGGCGGCGCGCCGAGGGTGGCAGTGAGCGGGGGCAGGCCTCCTCAGAAGGCGGCGGGGCTTCTCAGAAGCTGCGGAGACTGGAGGAGGAGGAGGAGGAGGAGGAGGAGGAGGAGGAGGAGGAGGAGGAGGAGGAGGGGAGGGGGAGGAGGAGGGGGAGGAGGAGGAGGAGGAGGAGGGGAGGAGGAGGAGGAGGAGGAGGAGGAGGAGGAGGAAGAGGGGGAGGAGGAGGAGGAGGAGGAGGAGGAGGAGGAGGAGGAGGAGGAGGAGAAGGGGGAGGAGGGGGAGGAGGCGGAGGAGGGGGAGGTTCCGAGAAAGCTTCTCGGAAGGCTGGGGGCCTTCCGAGCCCTCCGAGGAGACCCACCCCCTCTCGGTCAACCCCCCTCAGGCGCGCCGCCGACCTGCAGGGCGACGCGAGCCTTCGCACGAAGCTCTCGCCCAACCATGCGGCACCTCGGCAACGAAACCTGCCTCGACGAAGCCTGCGAGTAAGCCCACACTGCAAACAACCAGTATAGTAACGATACGTGATAAAGATGCATGGGGCCTCGGACGACGCCCATTCCGAAGCTTTTCGAGCGGGGCGCGGCCAGCGAAGGCGGCGAAGGATGGACCGAGGAGGCAAGGATGGTTACCCTTGGGAAGGTAGCCTATCCGTACTATGCGGGTTGAAGCTTATTCTCGTGCGAGTCCAGGATGTTTGGCCTTCCCACGAGTCCTGCGCATGCTCTCACAACGCAGCCAGCTGTGCCATTGTCGGAATTGCTGACCAGCATGGGCAGAGAAGAACCTAACGCTCACGCAGTGTCCACTCCGACCGGCTTCGACCAAACGGCTTCATGGCTGTCCTGCAAACTACATTTGCCGATGCCGATGCTCAGTGACAGCAGGCGCAGCGCGGCACACCCTAAACCCAACACAAGATACACAACAATATCGTGCGGTTCTTTCCTGCATTAACATGTGCTGGACACATTAACAATTGCGCCTCGACGTCGCTGCGATACAGCTTGGTTAATTCAGACGCGATCCACAGAGCCAGGAAGAGCTGGCGCTGCAAAATATGTACGGCTCAAACTGAGGCTCAGAAAAACCTTGACCAGTCCATGGGTGAAGGGGTTCCGCAGTCTGGACCCTTGTATCTTGATCACAACTGCTGATGTGTGTTGAACCCCGCCCCGCTGGTTCTCCAATTTGAGAGGCAACGATGGGAGAAGGGAACTGGCACAGGAGGGGGAACGATCGACCCGGGATCGGCGATACACCGCCGATAGGTCGGCGACAGGGACAGCGAATCCGCAGGTTCCTGGGCGTGGTGGGGCTATCGGACCCCCAGTGGCAATCCATTGGGCGATTGGGGGTCGATGTGCTCCCCCCCGTGTCGTTTGCCCCCGATCCCTGTTCTAAGCGCGCCCTCCGCCCTTGCCTTAGGTCGAGCATGTCCCCCTCGAGGCGGCTTCTGGGCGAAACATGAAGGACAACTAGAACATATTTGAAACATGCCCAACATACACTTACAAAACCGCCCCCATACTATTTGTGTAGCTATTTGTGAAAATTCCTCCTGCAGTGGCACACGCCCGACTTGACCCGTGCCTCCACCCAACGGCCTCCCCCTCCCCTCCGCGCGCCGCCGCGAGCCCACTCTGCGTCTCCTCGCCCCGGCCTGCCGCCCCCGACCGCGCGGTGCGCTCGCCGGCGCCGCGGCCAAAAGACACCGATGCCCCCAGGGATCGTTTCTAACTGTTTCGGCGATGCAGTCAGAACTGATACTTGGGTTAGGTCGGGCCTGTCCCCCTACAGGGGGATTCTGGACGAAAAATAAAAACCAGTCAACAAATACCCCAAAGTGGAAAAAATACTAAACAAATCGTCCCCAGACTATTGTTTCAACATTTTTGAATTTTCCTCCTGTAGAGGGACAGGCCCGACTTAATACTAAGGATGCGCGATGAGGATGCAAGCCCCTTGGACGCCCCTGTCGAAGTTAGGCGAGCGGGGCTGGTCATCGGAACGGGGTTCAGGATGGACCAAGAAGGCAAGGATGATGCAAAAGCACCCTTGGGAAAGATGCCCATCCTTACTATCGGTCTCGACTGCAACCCGGGTTATCCGGGTAGGGGGGGAGGGAGGTGCCAGCCGATAGCCTCACATTTTCGCTTTGGGCAGCTCCACGGATGACCGCGCAACCAACAGAAGTCAGGCTATCGCGGGGGGGGAAGGGGCGGGGGGCCGGGCAGGCCCGATAACCCCGGGTCTTCGCTTGGGTTCCGTTCTGACCAACATGCCGAGGAGCATCCGGCCGTGGCGACGAAGGCCCTGCAGGAGGAGCACCCGTGTCGGTATAGTTCTGCCGACCCCGCCCCCTCGGCGCGGCCAGATGTACATTTCTGCCGCACCGCCCCCTGCGTCGGGGGTAGAGAAACCCCCCTCTAGCAAAACGGCCCCCCAAGGTCACTCCACGTGCGCACGGCACCGCATGCCGAGAACACCCCAGCGGGGCGGCGAATCGACGTCCAAAAACAACCGGATGATGTCCCGCGAGGCGCACGCCGACTCGCCAAACCGGCTGCGGACTGCATCGGATCGGGCTGCATCGGCACGGAATCGAGATCGCCTCGGCATCGGCCGCACCGGAATGCACAGCAGCGTCGTGCAAGAGCATCTGGCCGCATCGGATCGGATCATCCAAATATCGGAATCGAATCGACTCGGATCGGGCTGGCCGGCCTCGTTTTGTCGCCACGCCTTTTGTTCTCACGCGCTCAAATGGACGACGCCGACACCACGGCAATCCCTGCGCCCCGCGACCAAGTGGACGAGGCCGGCACCGCGGCAAACCCACGGCAAACCCACGGCGAACCCACGGCTAACCCATCGCGCACGAGGCGGCGTTTGCCCTGGTGGCCGCCGCACCCTCCCCAAGACGGAAGGCCGCGCGTCGGAACAAGCGGCGCGGCGACATGTCGAATCGGATCGATCGTATCGAAAGGGACCCTCGGAAGGGTGGGAGAAGCAGGCGAAGGAGCTGTGTGCAGCCCCAGATCACGACAGCGACCGAGAGCCAAGAGAGCTTGCGACAATGAGCGATGAGGAAGAAGGGGGTGGGCGAGAGGAAACGGAGGGAGAGGATCGCGGGAGGGACATTGTGGGCGTCTTGGCCCTCCGCAGTCGCCGCGGTCTCCCTGCGCGCCGGCCTCGCAAGCAGTGCGCACCGCAGGAGAGGAACTCCAGGCGCAAGGGGGAAGCAGACAGCG